TACCATCATTGTAATTGCGTATAAAACACCATTTCAAATCCTAATAAAAGCTTTCAGGCCAAAGAGGTCTCCTTAACACAAAAAAAATAAAAAATAAAAAAATAATTAGTTTAATAAATATTACTGAGTGCTAAATTTAAAATAAATTCATGTTTTACATTTAAACAAGTTATCTAAGTCAAGTTCGCAAATCTTTTTTAAAGCTAGATTGTTTTATAATTTATTGCATGAAAATAGTGAAGCAAACCAATGTTTCATTGATATATTTCATTATTGTAAGGTTAATATTACATTTAGCATAGAACAAATTTTTTAAGAAATTCATTTTAATGAACTTGGACATGAAGATTTAATTAAGTAAATATAATTATATCTATCTGCTTCATGTTTATAAAGCTAGTTTTATAGATAATTTTTAATTTGGTCAGATTTATTTTAAATTTGATAATGAGTGTTGTTTTAAAATTGTTTCAATTTGTTAGTTCTAAATCCTTGGGAAACTCATTGTATAATTAGTGGGCATAAAGCTTACATATTCTTATTCAGATAGCATTCATATTATAAGATATTCGAATGAACATATATTTTTATAAATTCGAGAATTGCATCATTACAAGTTTTATTATTTTATTAGCAAATAAATAAGCAAAATAGTCATTTTATTCTAAGTTGCCGATGTGTAGAACTTCATTTAACATGTGTCGGTACCCTAAAAATCTCATGTTAATTTTAATGTTACACTACATGATCGACATAACCTGGCACAGAAAACCGAAATGCCTTTTTTTAATAAATTGTAATTATTATTATTTTTTTTTAATATTGAGGTGACCACTTAGGCCCCTGGCACTTTTAATATACCCCTTTCGGGAACAGTAATTTACCGTGAAAGACCCTAAGACTTTAGCCAACAACAGAAGGCATTTATCCTTGTGGTAAACCCAACAGAGTGGTGCATGTCTCACACATGCATTCACCTGCATATTCAGTAATTTCTTTTCCAATTAGTACATATTGTCTGCTGCTATTGTGTTCGTATCTCATGCCACCTTTTGGGGTGATGCCGTAACACAATCCGTATCTCAAGCCCAACCTTCCTAATTAGTCACCTATTACGTACTCCTTGCCCTTGCAGGGTTCACAACAACCCCAGTACCCGCAATCCAGCTGTCTCCTTACCTGGAAGCTTCATCGGTCCCTCTCGCAGTTTCAGCCGGCAATCCAGAAAGGTTGGTCTGCCCAGGCTTTAGGTACCTAAAGGACACCCTCCCTTTGGTTCATACTTTCGGAGCGTATGCCCTTTTCCTCTGGTGCGTCTAAACCAGCGGTTCAGCTGGTGTGTCTCCCCACTAAAGGACCTGGTTCTACAGTTCTCCAATCTCAGGTTCTGGTTCAAATTCAGCCTTTTATATGATACCGTCGAAGATCACTGCTACTTCCCAACTCGGGACTTGCCAAGCAGGTTCCATAATTTTCTCGTTTCTCGGTATTACCAACACTACCGGGACATCCTATATCCGCTCGGCAGTATGCAGATGCCCGACAGTAACAACTTTCCAATACAGAGCATTGGTGTGATCCAAGGTTACAGGTTAATCTAATCCCCAACTTAATGAAGATCTGTTACCATAACGCAAGCCTATTTTTCAAACTTTTGTCATCTGTGGGATTTGAACCCTAGACCTGCTACTTGGAGAGTGTAACGACTTGACCACTTTACTAAGCCGCCACACCTCAGTATAAAAGTTTTTCTATAAATAAGTTACAAAAAATTTCAGTATAAGACTTATTGCAATTCGAAGATATATAGTAAATAGATAAGAATAAGTTAGTTTGCATTGAAATTATAATTATTGCTAAACTTACTTATCAATCCAGTATATATATATGTAGATAAGAGATAAATTGCATCAAATTATTATAATTATATTAGAAGTTACTGTAGAAAATTCTGCACAATGGTTAAAGTATAGTTAGTTTGCATTAGAAGTATGTGATTTAAGAATTATGATAACAATTTGTTAAAGACTTACACATTATTCAAGCAATAAAGCATAATTATAACGAAATATAATCTGAATTAGATAGAATTTTTTAATTAATCAGCTTTCATCAAATTAAGTATACATATACACAAAGTTTTAGTATATATGTATGTATATCAAAAACAAAAATATCTTTTAAAAGTATACAATGAGCTAGTTGCATTGGATTTCTAGTATAATATATTGAAAAAAATTCTATTTCAGAACTTATTCATAGATTTGTTAATAGTATCTCTTAAACTGTAAGCAATTCCAAACAAATTTGCCTAGAAAATTGCTATAAATTTATTTATAATTTACTTTTTTTAAAATTTAAAATATTTAAATAAAGAATTTTTTAATTTTTTGCATATGCACTATAATGCATACCCCCTATACCCTATAAGTCATTTGATTGCCTCAAATTCTGTACTACTTTAAATACAAAAATATAGTTTGTCATTTTACTTACACTTATCCTTATCGAAAGCATTTTTTTTATGTGAGAGTATAACCGAAGGTGTAGAGGAGAGAAGTAGTAATAAGAAGTTGTATAATTTATTAAAGTTATACAAAGGTAAAGGTCTAAATTGCTTATCATATTTGTAGCATTAGTATTCGAATTTTACTTGACAACGATGGCTAAGAGTTTTGCTAAACCTTTATTGCTTTAAAGTTTCACTAGAAAGCTATAAAGCTTCACCCAAAGCCAATTTTGATTCAATCGGTACCCATTTACTTGTAAGTAGAATTTAGTGATGAGCGTCTAATTTCGTTCATATTTCTTTTCTAACATTCTTTATTTCAGCAAGTGTAAAACGTCAATTTGATAGTACAGGATAGCCATGGTAATTTTAGGCTAAAGCCTCTGTGATCATTGAAGTGCAAGTGTGTAGTTTCGTCCATGAGTTTGTTGAAGAGCAAGTGTGGGTTTCGTTTGTTGAAGTACTAGTGTGTGGTTTCGCCTGTGACTTCGTTGAAGTACTAGTGTGTGGTTTTGCAAGTGTGTGATTTCATTAAGCTTGTAAGTATAATAAGTGTTGTGAACTTTCATACTTCGATCATAACTCTTTTTCTGATGCTCTTTATTTCGATAGTACATCAATAACCTTTAGGTTTTGCTCTACTCAAAGCCAACTTTGATCATACCAGTACCTTTTGCTTGTAAGTATAATAAGTGTTGTGAACTTTCTCACTTCGCTCATAACTCTTTTTCTGATGCTCATATTACAAACTAGTTTTTTTTAGGTTGTCATGATTTCGCCCATGACTTCATTGAAGTACTAGTGTGTGGTTTCGTTTGTAACTGCAAGTGTGTGGTTTCGTTAAGCTTGTAAGTATAATAAGTATTGTGAACTTTTATACTTTGATCATAACTCTTTTTCTGATGTTCTTTATTTCGATAGTATATCAATAATCTTTAGGTTTTGCTTCACCCAAAGCCAACTTTGATCATACCAGTGCCTTTTGCTTGTAAGTATAATAAGTGTTGTGAACTTTCTTACTTCAATCATAACTCAATTTTCTGATGTTCTTTATTTCGATAGTATATCAATAACCTTCAGGTTTTGCTCTACCCAAAGCCTACTTCGATTATACCAGTGCCTTTTGCTTGTAAGTATAATAAGTGTTGTAAACTTTCTCACTTCGATCATAACTCTTTTTCTGATGCTCATATTACAAACTAGTTTTTTTGAGGTTGTCATGGTTTCACCTGTGACTTCGTTAAAGTACTAGTGTGTGGTTTCGTTTGTAACTGCAAGTGTGTGGTTTTGTTAAGCTTGTAAGTATAATAAGTGTTGTGAACTTTCATACTTTGATCATAACTCTTTTTCTGATGTTCTTTATTCGATAGTACATCAATAATCTTCAGGTTTTGCTTTACCCAAAGCCGACTTTGATCATACCAGTGCCTTTTGCTTGTAAGTATAATAAGTGTTGTGAACTTTCTTACTTCAATCATAACTCAATTTTCTGATGTTCTTTATTTTGATAGTATATCAATAACCTTCAGTTTTGCTCCATCCAAAGCCAACTTCGATCATACTAGTGCCTTTGCTTGTAAGTATAATAAGTGTTGCGAACTTTCTTACTTCGATCATAACTCTTTTTCTGATGCTCATATTACAAACTAGTTTTTTTTGGGTTGTCGTTTACGTTTCGCTATGGATGAAAACATGGATAATTTTTTGACTGTAAATGAAAAACCGGAAGATTTTCTTGTTATAAATGAAGAGAATGAAGATCAAGAATATTTTACGGGTGAAGCTTCAAATGATTTTATGAATGAAGGAGCCATAGATTCTGAATTTGAAATACCGTAAAACGCTTTTATAGTACCCTTGTGTTAAGTACCCCCTGACTTTTTTGAAGATGATTTTTGTATTGTACCCCATTATTAAAAAGTATTAAAAAAAAAAAAAATTATATTAGAGATCGCTATGTATTGTACCCCCTAGATCACGTATAGAATGTAAAATACCCCGAGTACTATAAAGAGCATTTTACGGTAGATTTGTTAAGAGTTTGTCATAAATAATAAGAACATTGTTAATATGACATTAATGTATTAATATTGTTTATTTTGTTATTAATAGAGAGCCATGATGATATTATGTCACAAAATGAAATAGAATCATCATCCTTATTTTCTGGAAAAAATTTGGTATATGGGATGAATGCAAGTTATTCCCCAATGAATAGGCGAAGGATAAGAGATTTCGCTTTATTAAAGGTCGCGTTACTCAGGAAAATGGAGTTCTTTATCAAAGAACTTATTTATGTGATCATGGAGGCTTTTATGAATCGAATACTGAAAAAAATACAGTTACTAAAAAGACACAATGTCCTTATCTTGTCAATACCTCATGCCCTAAAATTAACAATATAGAATGTTCCATATTTATTAACAAGATAGGTGATACTCATAACCATCTATTGAACCCAAGTAGAATTATGTTTGAAGATGAAAAACAATTTACTGCTGAAATGCTGGTTGATGTAAAATTTATGACTGAAAATTGTAAATTTGGAGCAACTGTACAAAGAAAGTTCCTAGAAAGCAAGTATTTAACACGAACAATATGCTCAAAAGACCTGTATTTCGCAATCCAAAAATTTTGTCCTACTAACAAATCATTGCTAAATAACACGGCAAAGGTATAATCTAGTCTATTATTATATATAAGCAAATAATATGAATTAGGTTTGATATATTACTTTATAGGTTTCTAACTAGCTTGACCAGAAAAAAAATACAGATTCTCATTGGGTTGTTGCATGTAAGTTTGATGAAGACAATATCTTAATGCATTTACTATGGATGATGCCGGGTCAAGTCGAAAATTGGATCCAATACTCAGACTATATTTTATATGATGTTATCTACAAGACTAATTGTTATGAAATGGCGTTGTCATTGTTTGTTGGGTTTGACAGTAATTGCAAAAATATTTTATTAGCACAAGCACTCCTTTGTGATAAAAGTGTTGGCTCACATAAGTGGGCTTTTACAGAAATCATTAAAGCTACAAATGTTTATCCAGCTGTTATTCTTACTGACGCCGATCTAGCAGTTGATTCTGCAGTTCGTCAAGTATTTACTATGACATATCCGATTCATTGTGCTTATCATTTAACACAAAATCTACATAAAAATCTCAAAAAGCTGCTAGGCGATTTATACCAAAACTTTCTTAAAGACTTCTATATCTGCCGTAATAGTTTCTCTGAAAATTTCTTTTATTAACAGTTTAATAAACTTACTCAAGATTATTCTAGTGCTAAAATTTATTTGGAGTTTCTTTTTAAATCGAAAGCTTATTGGGCCCATTGTTTTATATGTTTCAAGTTTACCGGAGGAATGATTGCTACATCATGAGTTGAATCAGTAAATGCATGCCTGAAATGTTTATTACATAGTTTAAATGTCTCTTTATGTGACCTTTTAACCGAGATTACTAGGTTATTGGATATTCAGAATAGAGAGAACAAATATAAATTTTGGAAGCTCTCAATTCCAAATGTGAAAAATCAGAATAAAGTAAACTTTTTGTTTACTAATATTAACAAGTATATTCAAAAGTTCCTTATGCCAACCATTTTACAAATACAACATAACGAAATTAACCAGTCGGTTTATTATATGTCAAATGTAATTAAAGATACGATGCATTCTAGTGAAGTGAGGGTTTAATTATTATTTTGTTTGAATTTTGAATAAATATGGTGTAGTATATTAAGGTTGTTTTTAATAGAATGATGATTCTAACGATTCTCATGAAGAATTTGACAGCGATGATATGCAAACTAGTTTTAATCAACTGATTGAATTTGCTGGCTTGAACAATATCCAGGAGACTTGGGCTATTTGTGCTAGAAATTCAACAAAAATAAAGCATTATGTTTTGCTATTAAAGAATTGATCATATCTATGTTCTTGTTTATCTATTATATGATGTGGTATAGTATGTTGGCATTATTTTTAGGTGATGCTAAGTACAAATAATGCAAAGTTTCACATTCGGATGCTACCTTCGCATTGGTACAGTACAAAAGAAATTGGCGCAGAGGAGCCATTTATAGTGGCAGACAAGTTTTCTATAGAAGTACCAAAAGCACCTGATTTTCCAGTTCCATATTTGTATCTTAAACAAGAGAAGTCTGATTTCCGAGCAGAAAATTTGACAGCTCTTGAAGAAAAAATATTGTATAGAAATATTCATAGCACATACAAAAGGGCCCTTCATAAAGCATTACAGAATAAAACAAAATCACAAAATTTAATCAAACTACTTGAGGATTTTGTTGAAGATAATGAATTCGAATCAGATGATTCGCAAGAAATTGATAGTCTGGATGATGAAAAAGAAAATAATGATCCTATAATTCTCAACCCAAAAATTCACCATGGTAGAGGTCGTTCCAAAGGTACTAAACGTTTAAAATCAGCGTATGAAGTATCAAAACCTATGGCAAATCAACGTCAATGCAAAAAGTGTAGTGGTTTGGGCCATTACTAGAAGAATTGCAAGGTACTTAATTTTGTTGATATAAAATGTTGATCTAATTATGTGTTTAAAAGCTAACGAAATATTATTTGTATAGGTTTAAAGTTGTTATCAATAGTAGATATATTGTATAGCCTTATTTTATTCATTTACTAGTATATGTGCTTTATTTTAACAAATTATATGTAGTGTTTTGGCTTCATTTAGGGTATAAACTTTATATAAAGCAAATGCCCATTATATAGTGATTATATCGTCGTGTTAATTGTTATACTTTAATTAGCTGAAATTGTTAGTTGCAATTAGTCTCATATAAATGTATGTATGTATGATTAGTAATTTTAAGGAATTGTGCCAGTATTGTAATTGTTTAAGCCTATGCATATTGACAAATTAATATGTATTAGCAATGTAAGCAAAAGTTTTTACTAGATTCGACTATAGTTAGTTAGTTGTAATCTAAATTTATATACAGTATAATTGTCTAGCGATGCAAGTTAGTTGTAATCTAAATTTATATACAGTATAATTGTCTAGCGATACAAGAGAAAATTCCCAAACCCCAAATTAGGTAAAGTCACAAATTGCTTGGGTTTGGTTTACATTACTAGTTAATATAGCATACACAGATTGAATTAATGAATAATGGGTATATATTGGGAGACAAATCTCCTGATATGTACCCATTATTCTATCATAGATCCACAAGGTAGATTAATAATTGTAATATGACAGTAACATCCCGGTATTTTCCTCTTAGCACTATTTAGACTAAGAGTAAAATACCAGAATGTTCTGGTATGTTACTGTTATATTACTATTAGCAATTTATCTCTCGATATTTAACCAATATGCTACAGTTACAGTATTTGGTGGATCTATGGTAGAATAATAGGTACATATTGGGAGATTTGTCTCCCGATTTGTACCCATTATTCATTGATTCAACCTGTAATATGTCTCTGATATAATAGAGTAGGTTCTAAAATGTGTATCTTTCGTATTAAAAAAAGTGAAGCATCCTATTTTTAGCTTACTTTTGTTATAAAAACTTTTAGCAGTTGATACTACATTGTGTGTTAATTATGCGTCACTCTTCATTATACTATATAATAGTATATACTAACTCCTACCTTTAACTTAATCTGTTGAGTTAAAGTTTGGAACCGGTTTTATTTTTCATATGTTAAATCTGGGTTTAATTAGTTTTAACATATGAAAAATAAAACTGGCTCCAAACTCTATGTTGAGTAACATTATACAATTAAATAATATGGCATGAATTACTGTATATTAATATAACACAAACTACCGATCCTATATAATACAAACTGCCGATCCTATGTAATACAAACTGCCGATCCTATGTAATACAAACTGCTGATCCTATGTAATACAAACTGCTGATCCTATGTAATACAAACTGCCAATCCTATATAATACAAACTGCCGATCCTATGTAATACAAACTGCTGATCCTATATATTATTACTATAGCCACGTGACTTATAGGCAATATAACGCCATAGCAATAAATTATAAAATCCTTAAATAAATTTTTTTTTGATAATATTTAAAAATAAGGATTATATTATAATAGTATTTAATTTTATATTATAAGAAAAAAAGTTTGAGTTGCTTATAATCCAAAAATAAACAAATTTAGAAAAAAATTTTAATTAAAAAATAATTTGCAAATTTTTAATGAACTCTTTAAATATTAGTTTTAAATCTATAGTTTCTAATACAATATTGTAGTTTATATAAAGGATAACAACTTTCATTATTGCATCTTTAGTGATTTATTTATAAAAATTATAATTTGTATTAGAAATAAAAAATTTTCTAAAGGTGAAAACATATAAAAATTTAGAAAATTTAAAGAAAAATTTAATAGTAAAAATTATTAAAGTAAGAGTTTTAAACTTTTATTACTCCAAAGATTTCTAGTAAAATTGAAAAATTTTTATAATAAAACTTATAGAATATATTTTAAATAAAATATTGTATATATAAATTATATCTTATATTATTAATAATTTTTAATTTTATGGACGTTCACTTGGCACAAAAATTAGTAAGAAGGAAAAGCGATAGTTTACTACTTTACAAGACAACACAACAGTACTAGATACTACCAGACAACAAAAAAGACATAGACACAAGGTAGTTCCACAATAACTAGTCAACTTGCAAGTGAAAAAAGGCAAAATTCCAAAAAACACAGTTAGAGTGATTCCAAAAATAGAACATGAGAAAACCAAACAGGGAAGTATATGAACAATAAAAGTTAGTTCTGCAGAAGAAGAGAACTTAGATAGAACATTAGACATATAATTTTTTTATCACAGAAGTACCAAACCTCGAAGGTACTCTAATTTTTAGAATTATTGCTCAATTCTTAAATTTTAGGGAAAATAGCATTGACTCTGTAGTGTAGATCTTTGGTGCAACACAGGATTATCGCACAAAGTTACACAGAGATATACAAAATCAACAACTAACATTTTATGTAAAAACACGTAAAAAATACATAAAAATACGTAAAACACGTGCCTTGATTGAAGTTCAAGTTATAGTTAAAGAGTTATATTAGATATTATCTCGGTATACAAAGTCACGTGATAAAAGAAATACCAGCACTCCGGAAGTATAGAAACTTCTTTAACCAATCTGAAAAGGAAAAACTAGCATTATATGAGGAGCAAAACTCAACTTTAGTTAAAGAGGACATTCATATTACAGAGTTTCTAGGTACTAAAGATATACATTTCATAGCAATTTTACGTGAGGTTATTGAAAGCTACAAATGGGCCCAAAGCAAGGAGTTTAAACAAGACGCATTATCTGACAAGGAGAAAGTCCTACTAGGGCAAAATAATAGTATAGAGTTAGTTCAGAAAAAGGACGAGCTAAGTTCTACAGACATGGAGATTAATTATACAAAACCTGTAACCATATCCAAAGATTATAGTAAAAATACAACTTGCAATATCAATGGTATTTCTTGTAAAAGGAGTCTAGTAGAACAGAAAATTAGTAGTGATTCAATAGAGTATAATCAAGAGACAAGAGTAGATGCACTTATTCAAAACGAGGTTGGTATATTAGACTATAGTCTCGAAGAGATTTTAGCCAAGAACAAATCAGGGTTCACAAAGCCAGAAGACAACAAAAAAAGACTTAAAAAACAAGAGGATATTTATAACTCAGTATGGGCCCTGAGAGATAATTATATATCAGAAAAATATACACATAAATCGCTATACTTTTTTACTTTGTGGGACCTTCCGAGAGACATGAGTGGAGAGAGAATTAAGAGATATCTTAAATACTTTGGGATAGTAACAATACTGGCATGGCAATACAACTTTACTACCAAAGCAACTTTTATCAAAAGTCGCATCAAGTATAGAGAAGAGAGAAAACTCTTTGAAAGAAAATTGGTCAATACATTTAGACTAGAGTAAGACTTATTAAACAACACCTGGAAAATTCAATATCAAAGAATTAGAAGATCAGAACAGATTCAAAAGCATGATCTACAATGTATCAATATCTGCTTTCGACAACTTACTTCTCAGACAGTTAAAAAGATTCAAGATGCAGGCAGTACATATATTAAACAATCGAAATGGTAACCAGTGCAGAAGAGCACATGTATATTTTAAAACCGAAGAGGACTTGTTACAAGTACAAAAATCAGTTCTCTATTATTATAGCACCAGGTTGAAGTAGAAATCATCTACAAGTATTCAATACAATATAGATAGAGAACATGTTTATCACCAAAAAATACATATAAAATATTCAAACTCAGACTAGTCTGCAGACTTCAGACCAGACCCAGACCAAACTTAGACTTGACTAAAAAGTCTAAGTATAAAAGTCTGAGTCTGGTTCAAAAATCAGACCAGACTCAGACTTGACTAAAGTCTGGTTTGAGTCCAGTTCATAGGAGCACCAATTGGGATGTTCTATAGAATAGATGGACAATATAAAAAATAAGCTTTGTTAATGATTAGTAATTATTAATAGATACTTAGTGGGGTTGCTGAGTTTGCGAAGTTTGTCCATCTATTCTATAGAATATCTGATTATTGATATAGGAGATATCTAAAAAAAATTATTTAGTTAGAAAAGTAAATCTATATTAAGATAAAACTTTACAGTAGAGATATACAATATATTGTAATTATTATATAATTTTTATTAATCTAGTACAGGTTATAATAGTATATTTCTTATATTTGTATATTAGACTATACTTTTTTTTTTGTTTATTTTTTATATTTAGATTTTTTGTTTAGATTACATAGTTTATTTATATTTTTTTATCTACCTTTGTTTTATTTTTACATTCTTTTTTTTCTTATATTAGTTATATATTTTAAAAATAGTTTAGTAAAATATTTCTACTAGAATCTAAGTGGAAAAATTTTTTTAAAAATTTGAAATCTGAGATAGATTAAAAAAAACAAAAAGGCTATTTTTACTCTAGCAAATCACACATAGGTACCTAAATAACAACTAGGTGAATCACACTTTAGTTTAAACAACATTAAGAGCTAATTTACATAAGAATAGTAGTATTTTTATAATAAAATTTGGGGCAAATTTAATATAAAATTTATATATAACCTGAATCTGGAATTTTTTTCTAAATATATAATTGTAAAGAAATTTTATATAATTGCTAAGAGAAAAATTAAGATATCTCAAGAACTACTTAACCAATTTTATTGATTTTACTACTATTAGAATCAGAAAAACAAGCTTTACAAACTTTAATTAAAAACTAAAAAGGTTAACTTAATAAAAAAACCAACTTTACTTAGAAAGAACTGCCAGATTTGATTCAAGTATAAATTTTATATATTAAATTATCCCCAAATTTTACTATAAAGCTACTATAGTGACTCTGCCGTTCTTACATGAATTAGCTCTTAAATAACATAGTTATAAAAATTGTACATTCTATAATTATAATAAAGTTATGACATGACCACTTGAAAAAAAAACCAATTAAAATAAAATTAAATATCCTAAGTAAATCTATTTAAAAACACTTCAAAATTTTGTATAGTCAAAGTCTAAACTATTAATATATCTGTTTTCAAACTATACCTAACTTTAATGTTAGTAAAACTTATTTTTTTACAAAAAATTACATAAAGTCGGCCAGCATTAAAATCTGCAAATTCTGGCCAAATTAATATCAGCCAGCATAATGATGGACTTTAGATCCTAAATCCAGGCCAAGATTTAAAAATGATCTGAACCAATTCCGTGATTTTTCTGCAAAATTCCGTAAACGCAGAAAATCATCGTTCCTGTATATATTTTTTAATTAAATTAATACTTATAATTTTACAAAAATATTAATTAAAATGAAGTTGTTTTATTCAATTAATTTTTTTTTTTTAGTATTAGTTGTGCCAATAATTAGTAAGCGCTAATGGCGTTGAAGCTAAATTGATATCTAATTCTGAATTAAGATTAAGTTAGAATAAAGCATATTCAAATGGTAAATATAATTTTGTATTATAATTGATCGATCAGGGTAGCGTCGTACACTGACAGTGAATTATATACTGTATATTTATTTAACTTATTTTTTGTATGATAAAAAATTTTTGTAAAACTATAAGATAAGATAGCTGACATAATGTAACAGATAAATGTGGAAAAACTGACATAATGTAACAGATAAATGTGGAAAACTGACTAAGATATTACGTAAGCAATACCGTAATCAAAATTGATTATTCCCCAAAACACAACATTACGGTCCCTGCTTAACCAGTGAAACTTAATATTTTTAATTAAAATTATATAATATACAGATGAAAAAATTAATTTAAATCAAAGGAGTATATTTAAGAATATATATTGTTCGAATATTTTACGTAAAACGTTTTTGATATTTTTGAAATTGGACATACCCACACGATTTTTTTTAAAAATTGTTATTGTTACAGTTCATACTAAAAGAAAAAAAATAAAATAAACTTTTTAATTATGATAAATTCGTTATACAGTATTGATTTTGCATGACCAATAAAAGAAAAAAAAATTAATTAAAACTTATTAGTATAAATTCTTTATATTGATGCATTAGAAGAAATGTCATTATGGAAGAAATGAAAAAAAAAAAATTAATAACCAGGTTTTGGCGATATTAATATGCTTCGTTCAAATTAAAGCATTTTACAGATAAATTTTTTTATATAATAATCATGGCACGATCAGATAACTTTGTGAAGTGATTTTCGTGAGAAAAAAAAAAATAAAAATTTAAAGTTGAAAATCTGGGGATACACATGTGCAATTCTAAACAGGAAGTTTTCTCGGAAAATCCGCAAATCGGATATTTCGTAAATTGGAACATAAATTCAAATTAGTACTGTAACCAAATTTGGAATTTTTAACCAATCAACTATGAAACCGGTTATACGTGCAATATAAAGTGTACAGTAAGAGTAATACATAAAAATGACCGTTAAAGCATCCTAAAAAATAATGTGTGTTCTTACTACGTGAACTATTCATGAGTTAGATCAATCATTATACAAAAAAGGACAACAAATATTTGAAAATGAACCGCTCGGCGAATTCAGCAGTGTAGCAAAAGAGAAACAGTTTCCCCGAAAGGAAAAAATTTAATATATACGTATGTCATTTTGCATCTTAGACGGACTATATTATGTTTCTAATTCGTTTGATATTATTGACTTGTGTGCACGGACTACATACAAAGAGATTTTCTAAATGAAGAAGGAGCATTCACAGAAATGTTGGTTTTCATGTGTGACACTTTATGTGATATAAGGTAATATAATTAGAAAGTTTGCTATTTGCAACTCATTTCATTAATGTTGTCCTATCACGTCATCGGTAAATCATTCTTTATTAGGAGAGTTCTTTTTTACGGGGTTCTTGATTATTAATGTTAATTATTAATGTTAATTATTAATGTTAATTCTAATTTTTATCATCATAAACTATTCCAAATAATACGGGTTAATTTATGCTTATCATTGAAACGTGCCAAATTGTGAAGTATTGACATTGATGTAGCGCATTCACGTAATCAAAGATGATCTCAAAGTTCCCGTCATCAGACTACTTTCGCGCGAGAGGATGACGTCATGGTTTGCATTCATTTTAATTCATTTTGCAAGACAAAAGTGAAACTCAAAATTATTTGTTTATAGATTTTATATAGTAAATTTGAAGATCAAGATCACTAGGATACATGAGATACATACATGCTAAGGTTTATCTCGCACGAAGGATATCTTTACACGGCTTTATTGCTTAATCTTACAATTTCGGGCATCAGATAATAGTAGCATATACACACAATTAAAACATTATTTTAAATGTATTTATTTATAAAGGCGTATAAACGTATACATATATGCATATACAGTATATCCTACAAACAATGTTGTCATTTGCCTCGCTATTTTTTTTTTTGGTCGATTTATCTCAAGTTCAACTTGAGACCAATTTGACAACACTCCAATAAATGATTTGTAAAAGTAAAAGGATCATAAATAATCTTTGACTAAACTAATTACATTTCACTTAATTGTGAAAACCGATTAACAAAAAACCATTTTTTTTGGCAGAATTTACAAAATTACAGTTAAATTCGTTAATTTAAAAATTAAAAAAAAAAATTTTCTTAAAAACGTAAAAGTCAACTGGATCAATTCCAGAAAAAAAAAAAAAAAATGAAATGAAATGAAACGAAATGAAATGAAAATGAAGATTAAATGAAAAAATAAATAAATAAATGAATACAATATTAAACAAGAAAAAATGGGTTTTTGTTTTTTAAGTAAAAATACATTCGTCGAGTCGTATCAATAAATTAAATAAACATGTCTCTTATTCCCGAATATAAGTATGAAATATGATGATTATCATGGTTCCACCATTTTTTAAAAAAAATTTTTAAAAGTACTTGTTATGAGTGTTTAGAAGTTGACAAACTTTACGATCGTAGGAGGTCAGAGGTAACAACGAATCAGTATTTTTTTCAGTTTTTGGAGGAGATGGAAATAGTAATGATAATTGTGAAAGTGGTGGAATAATGTTGTCACATGTTTCAGAAAATAAATCGGGTTGAGATTGAGAATGTGTAAAAGGAAATCGGGAATTAGATCGAGAATTAGGTGATGAATCAGATGTTTGTGATAATTGATGTTGTGAAGATACATCGTTATAATAATTAGAAGACATTGAATAGTGTAATGATGAAGGTATTGTAATATTAAATGTATCAGAAAGTTGTTTTGACCGAGCAATAGTAGGTGATGCTTGTCTGAATGTTGAAAAAGTTGTTGATGATGATGTCGAAGTTGTAAGTTCTCCTTGACGACGATTATTAACTAATTTGTTTTTCCAACGAACGACCTGTGGAATATTGCCACGATTTGAGATTATTCCCATTGGAATATTTGTAGTAGCATTTCTTCTTGGATGATAAACGTAACCCGGATAAAGAAAATCATGAACTTTTTTCGCACATTCAGCAATAAGACCATATAATTCTCTAATCTCTTTTGGTTCTCTTTTCCATTGTTTACCAGCAAGTTTAGAGACGTTGTCCAATTTTCCAATAGAATTGTCGGAGGCGATAGATGAAGCAATTTTAGCTTGAATGTTTCTTCTGTATATAACAAAACTATTTTGTGGACGCGGTATTTTTTGGGTCCTAAGATTTTCAATAGGCGTAACCAATTCATAAAGTGGAATAACAGTATTCTGTTGAATTTTGTTAAGGGTCTCTTCATTAAAATATTCATCTATTATTTTCTCAATCATTATCATATTTTTTGAACGGTAAAGTGGAGATAAACGAACATAACGCGAGAGTGGTGCATCACCACGTGTTTCAAATGTATAATAAGGCATATTTGACATAAGTTTAAATAAGGGTGTCAAAAAAAATTAAATAAAATAAAATAAAATAAGAAGAAAGGAAAAGCGTAAATGTTAAAGAAATCGCCTGAACAAGTTAAAACCAAATAAGGTACAAAAGTCAACCTTCTAAAATAAATTCTTGGAGGAGGTACCTTTATATATGTTTTGGTCGTGATTCATTATTGGAAAGCGAAGGACAATTAGCTATATGATGTGACAACAATTTTACTGCTTAAATGATATAATAATTATACTTCAATAATCAATTATTCTATAAAAATGAATAAATTAAAAAATAATGCCGGGTTTTTAAAAAAATTCTTCTCGTAGATTGCCAAAGGAATTTAAAACCGAATAAATAATAATAAATAATATAAAGTACTTTACCACCAAACAATGGAATTCTAAACTTAAATTATACATGTCACAAAATGGTTGTGGTGCTATTTGAATATACAATAAACACGTTTCAACGTGCGCATATAATGGTGAAATAAATCCAAATATAATAATTTTTTCATTCAATCGCCAAGTGGCGTTTCATGCGACAAAATAACAATATTTTATAATTAAAGTTTTTTTACGAATTATTCCGTGATATCGGGATATAATGTAATTACATCGAGATATCGAGATAAAGAAAGGTTCAAAGTAATAAAATGTGATATTTTACAAAGTTAGTAATAAATTTTTTTTTTTAAAAAAAAAAAAAAAACAGATGATATTAGATAATATTTTATCAGTTACCTCAATTATACATTCCAATTTTTCCGCGTCAAAACAGAAATTGTCATCAATGAACACAAAAATTTAAGGGCAAGTATGTTCGCTCTGTATTCCAAAAATAAATTAGATATATTTGTGACTCCTAGTTTGGTAAGATTAGTAATATAAAACATCTCATGATTAAACAAAAAAAAAAAAAAAAAATCAAAGAGCATAAGTTTAAATTTTTTAAAATCCAATTATATACTTAGCTCATAATGATTATTGACGCAAACGAATAAACACAATTTATCATCTTAATTTCTAAATTATAATGTAAAAAGAAATATATAAAATTATAAAATCTAATCTTTGAACGAATACTATCGTTTAACTATCGCTCGCACCCCGTGCGTTTCGAATTTCCAGTTAATTATTGGTAAAAAAATTTATATAAAGAAGTGTAAATACGATTTTTCGTGATACTGGAATAGTTGGTATTTATTATGTGTAATACACAACTAAAAGTCTTTATGAACGTTCTGAGTAAGTAAAATACAAAAAATTATTTGACTAACACAAATCAAAATCGGAATATATTTGCCATATTTTTGGGTTTACTTATTCCAAGAACATCAAACAAGACGATATATCCATAAACAAGTCGATATATCCATAGATTAATGATTTTCTGCGAGTTGGATGAAGCTTGTTCATTAAACTGGCATATTTTTCTGTTGAACCGGATGTTATCTCCGTGCGTACATGTGTTCCTACAAGCAATTACGTTGATATCTTAAAAAATAGAATTTTAATCATCATAAAACTCCGGGATATTTTTTACTATATTTTAAAAGGAATTTGTGAAGCTTTGAAAAACAAGTTGTGTACAAAAATGGGATTGTCTTACATACGTGTTTACATTGTCAATTACTAAATTTAGCAGTCAAGAACATCCCTATGCATGAATGCATATGATCATAAATCTTATTTATTATCATAAATTACGTACAGTACTGTAGTACGTTTGAATATTTAAGGCTGGGGTTACTTATCAATTCACTAATTTTACCTATTTTTAGAAAATAAATTATAACATTGATTTAGCTAGGGATCTGGACCATCAACTTTCGCGATATAGATAGATTAACATCACAGTTATTACCTTTTATATATGTGAATGAATTTTTTTTTTCGGTAATTTTTATAAAGTTATCGAAACACTTGTGATTTCAATTTTCATACGTAGGGTACAATGGCAAATAACGATCATTTAACATAACAGTAATTTACAGTAATTTACAGTAATATACAGTAGTAAGAGACAAAATAAAATAAAAAAGAAAAAAAAAAATGCTAGAGCATTTAATACGTGAGTAAACTCAACGCTTCGTTCTCAAACAAAAAATTTTATGTATAAATAGATATAATTAATTTTCTCATTCATTGTTCTATTCGTAATTATAAAGACTTACTAAAGCATTAATCAGTTTATACAAACTTTTTGTTTTTCTAATAAACATTCATGACTGACCAACCACTTCGTTATAGGGTCAACAATGATAAATTCTTTAGCAAATAGTTGATTCATAAATTTTAAGTTTGTATACGATATGTGAATAAGTCTATCGTATACGTAATTCAGTAATTAGTTGTTACAATGTAACATGATTTAAATTAAAATGAATGTTGGTGGTTCTCCAAAGTACATATACATTGCATAATTATTTAATTATATCTCACGTAGCAATGCTACAATTTCTAAATTTTGAGATTATGTAAACTAGTTTACATATTTATTTATCAATGGGAAATATTTATGTTTATTAAATTTAATTCACTCGTTTTGTTTTTTTTGACCTTTTATTCTATTACTCAATATTTTATTTGTATGTAATTCAAAAGTTTAATATGGATGTGAATAGTAAATAATCAATGACTCCTCTTGTATAACGAAACCAATGAAATTTCTTGTATTACTGATAACCTATAAGCAAATAATGTCATAAGATGACGCGTAATGGCGCATGATTGCCAATAATTCTCTAGAAATTTACAGGCAAGAAATAGTGTATATATTGCTAATAGGTGACTTACAGTAGTGTATCGTAATATAAGTGGTATATAGTTAGTATTAACCTTGTTTATTAATTTCAGAATACAGTTATTAAAGACAAAAGCAATCCTCTATTTCTCTTTATCTGATCGGTATTATTATGCGGCCGTTTGCTTTAAATTATCCCGATACAGTATTTTTCTTCAGAAAAAGATGTTCGATTTCTGTAACGAAACACAATTTCCTTGCCAAGCGTAAGGGTAATATTTGTACCTAGCTTTGATAATCCAAAAATATGCTACGTATTATCCAGGTTTTATTTATCTGAAAATTATCGGAAATTTATTGTAATCACTAGAAATTCCGTTTGTTCAGAAGAATTGTGCATTTTCGGCATAACTACCCGGGGAATGTCGGGGTATGATTTTTTAAAAATTCTTTATAGAGACGTAACCATCCTTAATTAGGATGTATGCGTTATCTCTACATAAAAGTCCGAATTACGATTACATTTTTTATCAAAATAGAAAAATTTATTGATTATGAGCGACCAATCAAATTGCATAATTTATCTAAATTCCTTATGATTGGTCAATTACTTACAATTGATTTATACTTGCAAATGAAAAATTAAAATTTACATTCATCCCCATCTTTAATACTTACTATTAAAGCTTACATAGAAAACGATATTTCTACCTATATTACAACTATTGAACTATGCATAATTACTATATTTCCAAAAAAATCGTCAATTTACTGGAACAATAACGGAATAAACTTTTCTCGTGCTGGAAGAAAAAGTATCCGTGATTTATAATATGATTTTTAGCGCTTCTCAATGAATTCGATAAAGAATTTTGTTTGGCTTGTTTTATCAGACAAACCAATCGGATTCTTTGTCGATTCCATTTGAGAACCCCTTTTATTTTATACTTTATAGAAAATACAGTTTTATCACATTTTTAATTATGTCATAAAATATTTGAGTTACGACAAATTAATTATCATTCAGGATTATTTAACTTGACATTATTCTAATTGGTAGCTAATATTAAATATACTTAATATATATATAATAATATAATAAATATGCAATGAATTAGATTGTTTAAAAAAATAAAATGATTGGTACAGTAATATTTTTCGTAAAGCAATAACGACAATATATTTAATATGCCTTATTATTTGTTGTTTATACCTTCCTTTAATATAATTTTTCATGCGGTCGTATCATGACCGGGAATCTTTCTATCGCTATAGGGTCACAATGATCACGTGTAAAAATTATAATGAACAACTCGACGCTAGAGGATTCGTACTGTATTTTATGTCACACGAAGTTAATTTTTCATTTTACATTATCAACTGACCTAAATTTTACAAAACTCATACGTAATAATAATTCGTTTTTAGATAAGTACAATAATATTTGTTTTAGCAATGTTAATGTGCGCAACTTGTATTACATAATTTTGGCCAAAATGCATAATGCAGGCCGGAATTAGCGAATAAGATAAAGGACAAAATTTGAAATTATTGATAGAAATATTCAGAAAGTGAATTAATATAAAACAAGAAAGGTCAAGACAAATTTCCGAGATGTTCCAAGATATAATAAGAGGATATATATATATATAGTATATCATTTAATGCCATTAATATGCATTAAATTTAAAGAACCTGAAATCATCTAATCAAATAAATGACTTTAACTGTATAAAAGATTATAAATTATAAATTAGAGTAACAAAAAGACATTATAAAAAATGTAAATAAAAACCAACTTCGTGTGGCATTAGCTTTAAAAGATCAAGTCTAATAGGTGACCTCTCTGTCATAGGGATGAAATCGGTTAGGTTGTAGCCGGCTAACTGACTGGTATAATCATATTAATTGGCTTAGTCAGAAACTGACGGCTATACGACTATAACTGACTGAACTTATCTCTAAATCAGAAACTTTTATTCATTTGTTTATCGAAAAATCAATTATACCAACAATAATCGAATTTTGACCAATAAGCGACCATCATTGGGAAATTTTTAGACAGATACTCATTGATATGTAACAGTTAATCGCTTTATATCGATTAAAATTTAACATTACACATCAATATACTGTTTATAACTTGTATAAATCCAAAATCGTTTTTTATATCGAATTTTAGAGAAAAATCGATATTTATCTTTGATCAATTATTATTGAATTAATCAAATTAATATATATCGATTGTTAT